TTAAACGAGCCCGAGCCGAACCTGGCCAGGCTCGGGCTCGGCTCGGCTCGTTTGCACCCCTACCTCCAGATGTTATGGATGTTAATAATTGGAAGAATACAATTGAGTATTTCCAAACGGACGAACATAGAAATGCTTCAGCAAGGAACAACAAAGTCTGTCAAATGCAAACGAGCATGAATCGTGGGGGGTCAAGCTCGTTTAGCAGTACTTGCTATAAGAAGGTAACATACGATACATGTAATTATTTATTTAAAATATAGAGTAAATTACACGAATGATCCCTATGGTTTGGGGTAATTTGCACATTTGGTCCCTAACTTATTATTTTAACTTGGAAGATCCCTACTGTTTGTTTTTGTTGCACGCTTGGTCCCTGTCTTACCTAAAAAGACTATTTTGCCCTTGATTTACTTATTTATTTAAATAAACACACCTCAAACCCCACTTCCACTTCTCCTTACCTTACCTTACCTAACTCACCTTATTTAAATATATTAAAAAATCAAGGGCAAAATAGTCTTTTTAGGTAAGAAAGGGACCAAGCGTGTAACAAAAAGAAACTGTAGGGACCTTCCGAGCTAAAAAAATAAGTTAGGGACCAAACGTGCAAATTATTTCAAACCATAGGGACCATTCGTGTAATTTTCTCTAAAATATAATCTAATTTTTAATGTTAAACAAAACCTTAAGAGAGTGGAAACGTTTCGCAAGACTCATACCGATAGGGATGGTCTATTTGTTACTGTTGAGGCGGAAAAACAATACGTAAGTATTTAATTATAATTTTATCATATAATTAAGTGTTTTTTATACTTAATTGTTAATCACTTTTGGGAAATACATAATCGGTTAGTGGAAGAGCTCTTAGAACAAACACAAGAGCCAGAAGGTGAAAGAGAGTTAACACCCGCTCAAGAAAGAGCTTCTTTCGAGAAAGTATTAAGAGAACGACGTAGCCATATCAGAGGCATCGGTCGGAAACCTTCTGCTGTCCCGCCGATTTCACAGCCATCGCAACCACCACTACAGCCATAACAAGTAAAACAAGATTATTTAATTTGAGTAAATGCATGTTGATTTGGTAATTTTTGTTTGTTGTGATTATTTTCTAAAAGCTCTGGTAATTGGTATCAATAAATGCATGTTGATTTCCTAATTGTGCTTTTGTCCCAAGTGCAAGAAATAACAATGTACTTTGGTTTTTTTGTCTCTAGTTTAAAAATAGCAATGTACTTTGGCATCATAAAATGCATGTTGATTTGGTAATTTTGGTTTGTGGTGATTATTTGCTAAAAGCTTTGTTAATTGTGTGTTTGTCCCAAGTGCAAGAAATAACAATGTACTTTGGTTTTTTGTCTCTAGGTTGAAAATAGCAATGTACTTTGGCATCTTAAAATGCATGTTGATTTGGTAATTTTGGTTTGTGGTGATTATTTGCTAAAAGCTTTGTTAATTGGGTTTTTGTCCCAAGTGTAAGAAATAGCAATGTACTTTGGTTTTTTGTCTCTATTTTAAAAATAGCAATGTACTTTGGCATCATAAAATGCATGTTAATTAGGTAATTTTGGTTTGTGGTGATTATTTGCTAAAAGCTTTGTTAATTGTGGTTTTGTCCCAAGTGCAAGAAATAACAATGTACTTTGGTTTTTTGTCTCTAGTTTAAAAATAACAATGTACTTTGGCATCATAAAATGCATGTTGATTTGGTAATTTTGGTTTGTGGTGATTATTTGCTAAAAGCTTTGTTAATTGGGTTTTTGTCCCAAGTGCAAAAAATAGCAATGTACTTTGGTTTTTTGTCTCTAGTTTAAAAATAGCAATGTACTTTGGCTTTATAAAATGCATGTTGATTAGGTATTTTTGATTTGTGGTGATTATTTGCTAAAGGCTTTGTTAATTAGGCTTTGGTCCAAAGTGCGCGAAATAGCAATGTACTTTGGTTTTTTTTTTCTCTAGTTTAAAAATAGCAATTTACTTTGGCATCATAAAATGCATGTTGATTTGGTAATTTTGGTTTGTGGTGATTATTTGCTAAAAGCTTTGTTAATTGGGCTTTTTCCCAAGTGCAAAAATAGCAATGTACTTTGGTTTTATGTCTCTAGTTTAAAAATAGCAATGTACTTTGGCATCATAAATGCATGTTGATTTGGTAATTATGTTTTTGTCCCATGTGCAAGAAATAACAATGTACTTTTGGTATATCTTGTATTTAAGTGCAAGAAATAGGAATGTACTTTGGTACTTTTTGTTTATGTTTGATAATTTAACTTATAAATGTATATATGTTGTTATTTATTATGTAGTTGGAAAATCTTCGGGCAGTGATCACCGACCCGACATGTTGAGAGGAGCTTTATGCGTTTTTTCAATCGGGGAATAATCAAGGAGCAAACGATGGGAACAGAGATGGTGGTTTGTCGGATAATTAATTTGTGTGTTGTATGTTAGACTTGTCGTCACACTTTGCTATTTGTTAGAATTGTAAAACTTTGGTTTTTTATTTTGGTATGAAATTTACTATAGCAGTATTTGGTATCTAATCGGATGTTTTGTAATTTTTTTTGTATTTAATGTCGTAATGTATCGGTTTTTTATACCCAAAATTGTTGATTAAAAATAAAAGTTAAAAAATTAAAATGTTATTACCGGCGACATGGGCATTAGTAGCGACAAATCTCTTTACCGGCGACATTTTGATCAATTGCGACAGAGCAGTAGCGACGACTTATTACCGACGACATGTCGCCGTTATTACGATTACCGGCGACTTCACTAATCTTTACCGGCGACTTTTGTCGCCGCTAATGGCCTTTTTTCTTGTAGTGTGGCCAAAGAGAAAGAGGCTATCGTTTAATGGAAGTACTCTAAGGATGAAGGAGGCAGGGGGTTGATGAAATCCTAGCCAACACATCCTTTAAATAGGACCCAAGGCCTAAGACCTAGGGTTTAGAGTCTAGCTACCAGCCGCGCCGCGATCCACACTTGGCTGCTCCACAACTTAATCGACATGGTAGCGCGGCGGTACACACTAATCCGCACCATGGCTCCGCACAATCCCTAAATGTTCCAAATTAAGAGTTCAATTTTAAAGGAGTCTTCATACCTTAAAAGTGGGTATTACAACAAGGGTACTAAAGTTGAACCCTATAGCTAGATACTTTAAAGAATACACATATACTTCATACTTTTCAGAACATTCATTTATAGAGAAACCAAGATAAATGCATTAAATTAAAGGAAAAAAAAGATATATTATTTAGATCCAATTTACTTGTACAGTTGAGGTTCTTAAGTTCAACAGTGATGGAGTCGATGTTGGAGATACATCATTATCAACCATTTCATCTTTTAACTTAAATGTAATTATCATAAACCACTGTTTCAATGTAAGACATTTTCACCCCTGAAGCCTTCTAAGTTCTAATATCAATACCATATAAAATTAAAGAAGGAAAGAAACGAAATTTGTGCTCCTGGCAAAGGAAAATATTGTTCAAGTATTTCATCAAACAATTCATTTGCATGTCAAACTGTTACATTGAGACTTACCGGATGACATGCAATTAAAAACAATAATGGCGAATGTAAATGTGTAAAATCAACTACCTTTGCTTCCAGGTTCTTCAATAACCAAAATGTCATTTAATGAAAACGAAAAAATAAAGAAAAAAAAAACTGAACTGATAAAACATTTCAAGAGCAAATCGTGACATTACCTTGCAACAAATTCAAAAGTGAGTTACTCATTGAACGCCAACGTGGATGAAAATATATGCACATGCCTCAAAATCTCCCAACATCTTTCGGATAAAAAAATGAACTATAAAAAGATTTTAACTGAAATACCAGAGAGGGTAGGCGTTGGAGAAGACGACGGTAGAGGAGGTTGCCAGCGAGGCGGCGTTGGAAAGGTGGTGAAGGCGTATGTCGGAGGTGGGAGGAGCTGCTCAAAGAAATCGTGTATGCGGGTAAGGAGAATGAAGAAATGGCGAGAAGGGGTGAGGGGCTAGTACGATGAAAGAACAAATGTGGGCAAAGTCTCAATCAGTTTGTTTGTTTGGTTTTTTTGTTTTTTTTTTTTAATTTTTTTTTGAGAAATTAAATTACATCTTATATTTTATGCCTACAATTATTCTACCCATTAAAATTATGACAAATTACCATCCAATTTAAATGTATTTGTTATATTCCTAATATAGCCTTAATAAGTTAGTTAAAAAAATATGGAATGATGACACTTATTATAATTTTATTGGGTAAAAACATTTGTAGGTATAAAAAATAGAAAGTAATTTTATTTTTTTTATTTTTTATTTTTTATTTTTTTTTGTGGACCGAGTAAAAGAGATTTTTGGACGGAATAAGAGGCATTAATTGAGATATCAACTACCAGAAAAAAAAAAAGGTTGCAACTGCCAACATTTTGTTTTGTAATTATAGTATGTTGTTGACTTTATTTTCCTGGGTCAACATTATCACAATAAATTAGTTAAACTTATAATAAGCTATTGGAAAAAGGGACATTGCAACTGCCAACGTTTTGTTTTTAAATATAGTATGTTCTTGACTTTATTTTTCTGGTTCAACCTCTCATTACAACAAATTTGCTAAACTTATAAGAAGCTATTGTCTAAGTTATTGAATTAGTAAAGCGACTTGTGCTGTCATATGTAACTTATTGGAAAGTTGATTTTCATCTTTAATATCTTCTAATTCGTATTTATCTTTTTTTTTTATCTCTAACGATCAAAATATATTAATCTTTTTTGACCTGTCTGAGCTGGCATCAGGCATCTACCCGGATAATTAATATTTTTTGTTTAAAGAGGTTGCACATAAAAAAATATCCACGCGTTTATATTCTAACATGTAATTAAAAATTTATTTAAATATAATTAGCTGTTTTTCCGTTTTATCTTTTGTCCAATTTGTATAATTAAACCACTAACCTTTCACAAACATATTAAATATCAGAGATTACTTCATCTTCATTTGCATATAAATTAAGGAACACACCATCACCATGTAGATGCACAGTTAAGAGAAAAAACATCCCATATCACCATATGGACATGGTTAATATCCTATCATTCATCCCTTCATGGTTTCTTTCCATAACATTACTTCTCTTCTTACCTTACATCTTTATACATAATATTCGACGGAAAAGCTCCATTAAGCTTCCCCCAGGCCCTAGGAGGCTTCCGATAATAGGAAACCTTCACCAACTGCTAGGAAACGAAGGTATCCATCAAACCCTATGGAAACTCTCCCACATATATGGCCCAGCTATGCTTCTTCATTTTGGGTCCCAACCATTCCTTGTGATTTCCTCTAGTGAAATGGCTTCTGAAGTCTTAAGAACTCATGATCAGAAGTTGTGTTCGCGTCCCTACTCTCAGGCCTCCAAGCGACTGTCATTTGATTACATGGACGCTGCCTTCTCGCCATACAGTGATCATTGGAAACATATGCGCAAGGTTTTGGCATCTGAGTTCTTGGGTGCTAAAAGAAGTAGATTATATAAAAACGTGATGGAGATTGAGATGGAGGGTGTGGTTCGTTCTGTCACATCACATACCTCCAGCACTATTGTAAATCTAGATGATATGTTCTCAAGTATAGTAAATGAAGTCGTGTGTAAGGTTGCATTTGGTGATAGTTACGGTGAAAAGAAGTTTAATGGTATGACACTGAAAGAGATAGTTGATGAGTCCCTAGTCATGCTTGGTGTTTCATTTTCTGATATTTTTCCAACATTTGGGCCGATTTTGGACAGATTAAGTGGGTGGAATCGCAGGCTGGAGACGTGTTTTAGTCATCTTGATGGCTTTCTTCAAATGGTTATTGATCAACATGAAACAAAAACAAGTGACCAGGAAAAAGATTTCGTTGATGACTGTTCCTCTGGCTTGACTACGTATGAAGTGAAAGCACTTTTGATGGTAAACAAGCTAGCTTAAGTTATTAAGTTTTCTATACATTCGAATAGATTTCAATTTTGCTCTTTAACGCATATCATTATATTTGTGCGAATAATATATGTAATTAATGTGAGTTAACTTTGTGAATATTTGTATTCCAGAATGTGATTGAAGGAGCGCTTGACACAACGGCTATAACCATGGTGTGGGCATTCTCGGAGATCGTTAAGAATCCTAGAGTTATGCAAAAGTTGCAAAACGAGATTCGAAGCTTCATTGGGAGAAAAGCGAGTTTACATGAATCAGATGTCGCCAACATGGCATACTTGAAAATGGTGGTGAAGGAGACGCTAAGATTGCACCCACCTGCTCCGTTTCTGATGGCACGTGAATGTGTAAGCCATTGTCAAATTGGTGGATATGATGTCTTACCTGGTACGAGAGTCATGGTCAGTTCATGGGGCATAGGAAGGGACCCAAGAAACTGGAAAGAAAGCCCAACCCAGTTTTGTCCCGAGCGGTTTGAAAACACTCCCTTGGAATATTTTGGAGGGTCCAGTTTTGATATGATCCCATTTGGAGGGGGGAAGAAGAGGCTGCCCTGGGTATAACTTAGCTACGTCAACTGTAGAATTTACTATTGCAAACCTTCTTTACTTCTTCAATTGGGAAACACCAAATGGAGTGAAGAAGGAAGATCTGGACATGGAAGAGCAAGGCTACCCGTTTCTTCGTCGGAAAACACCTCTGTGCCTTGTGCCCATAAAGTACAACTGGCAAGACTAGGAATCATTTCTTTGTTTCCATTCAATAATATGTTGGACCCGTTTATTTACACGATTTTCTTGAACATTTAGTTGTGTTCTTGTTAATGTTGGAGTAATTCAGAATTTGAAAAACGTTTTTATATCTAGTTTTGTCTTTCAGATTCAGTCTTTATCCTTTCCTACGTATTACAGTAGAGATAAGCTTAGGTGCGGTTTGTTTTTGGTTACATATTATAGTAGAGATAAACATAGGTGCGGTTTCTTTTTGATAAAAAAAACCTCTTTAAACCAATTTGTGATGCGTGACACAACACACGCGCAACACTTTTTATCCCGCAGC